TTATAGACCATGAGAAAACACTAAATCTAAACATTGACTCAGTTGGCCTCACTTTTAAGAACACTGCATTTCTCAGAACCCTATTCTCCTGAATCTCTATCACATTACTCTAGGGATAATTAAGGGAAACTAAGAAAACATATTAGAGGACCACTTTTCTTCCTCACCAGTGAAATCTTTCAGAACATCCATACATAAACAGAAATTAAAGTAAAACATCCACACTGGAGCTGTAAAAATCATGCATGAGAAATAATGGGTCATAAATTGATAGTTAAAACAATTACCTCCCCATTATCAGAATCAATGAATTCATGCTCTCAACACCCTGCAAAAAATCAAACAATGCATAAAGAAGATCCATAATTGGAAACAGAATTTTGGAGAGATGGGAGGAATGACCTAGAATTAACTATTATCTTTCTTTTAATTCAGAGCCTACTGCAATAATAATATTCCCCATAAATAAATATTTCATAGTTGAGTTGCTTTGCTTGAAATTATTATTTTTAATTTTTTATTTCTGCAGAAACATTAACATGAAAATTTTACAATCAGACCTGGATTTCTTTCCAGCTTCTTACAGCACCTACTACAGCCAAGTAGAAGAAACCTGATGCTGATATATAACAGCCCAAACAGCTGGTCTCTCCAAGGAAGTGGATTAGCAGAAGGATCACAGTACACAGCTCACTGCAGAAAAGCTCTCTATATAGCTTCGTACTTTTTATGTTTTGCTAAAATAGCCACCAGAGGAGAGGACAGAAGGATGATGCATAGTATGATGCCAGATGGCAGGGAGTGAGGATGACAAGACTCCATCTACCAATGCTAAAAATGAATACCCTCTGGACAGTGTTAAGGTCCAATACAGGAAGTAGTTTCTGTTCATCAAATCTAATCTGTTTCAAATCAGCCTGTCAGGAATTAATATTACAACTTGCATGGCAGTCAGTATAGGACCACTTTTAATTTTTCCACAAAATACTAAAACATGTACCATGCCTTCAATCAGTTCTTCTCCTTGGAAAGAGTGTTTGCAATTTGACTAGACATTTCACTCAAGGGTAAACTGGATCAAGAATTTATGCTTAGCACAGACTCATACATCTTGTTTTAACTTCAATATATCAATGAAAACCCAGCGTTTCAGGAGACAGGTCCTTAAATGATCCTAACCCAAGCCATTCTTTTCCAAAGCTCATTGTCTACGAAAGAAACCGATAAACAAGCAGAAAGGAAAACTGATTCTGGTTCAAATAAACATTCTCCTAATCTCAAAGTTTTAACTTCTTGGAGGACATTCTTCCATTGTCTTCATGGTTCCTGGTCTTCTTTTTTTATTGTAAATATACTAAGATTTCTCATTTTAAGACATTCAAAGTGGATGCAAAACTGGAATTTTAGTCATTCACAAATGCACACAAAATCTCAGATTCTGCTACTCTACTCATGGTTCCTTCTCATAGAGGTGGGTCAAGGCCAAGATTAAAGAAAAGTTGCTCAAATTAAAATCCTAACTTGACCAACTAGAAGTGGAACTGCTCATTTTGAACTTTAAAGGTAAGAAAGGTGGGCATCAAGGCAAACTTTCAATGGCTTCCATCTGGCTTCTTCTGCCTTCCCCTACATTCTGATTGGGATCAGAATGAAGAAATACTCTCAGATCCTACATACAAATTCTGTGAAAAGAAAAACCCAGAAATCTCAATAGCTCAACACACACAATAGTGTTCTTTTTTTTTTAATATTTTAAATTGTAGATGGACACAATACCTTTATTTCTGTTTATTTAGTTTTTTCATGTGGTGCCAGTGATTGAACTCAGTGCCTCATACGTGCGAGGCAAGCACTCTATCACTGAGCCACAACCCCAGCCCATACACAATAGTGTTTGTCAGTCTCAAAGAGGGTTTTACCCATCGGTTCTTTTTTTTTTTTTAATTGGTTGTTCAAAACATTAAAAAGCTCTTGACATACCATATTTCATACATTAGATTCAAGTGGGTTATGAACTTCCATTTTTACCCCAAATACAGATTGCAGAATCACGTCGGTTACACATCCACATTTTTACATAATGCCATATTAGTAACTGTTGTATTCTGCTACCTTTCCTATCCCATCGGTTCTTTACAGTTGCTCTTAGGGAATGATGATCCCACAACAATATGAGAACTCAACGTCTTAGTAGTGGCAACTAACATCAGACATGACTCACAGCTACAATTTCAACTTAGTTTCCCCCAAGTGAATCCAGCTTTACAGAAAATGATTCTCTCTACAATCTTGCATGGTAAGCCTAATGAATATAACATTTGCCCTGTAATCAAAACTCTTATGAGACAGTTCTATCAAATTTCCCTATATTTGTCCTATATTTGGTGAAACTTTACCTGATATCAGACAATTCTATAGTGTTATCAGTGATAAATATTTACTATTTAAGATGTTGACCTGTCCACAGCCTTCACTTGAATGTAGCATCAAAGCCACTGGTTTTCAACCTAGGGTACACAGTAGAAGTAAGATTCCCAGTGAAATTTAAGTGGCCTGTTATAATTCAGTTCATTCTCAAATATAGAAGCGAGCTTCATTTGTGTTTCATTCTCAAAACCACACTGTACACAAGATGTTGGTTGCATAATAGATTTTCCCAATTAAATCCTGGTTAAAAAGGAGACAGATTACCTATGGAGTTAATAAAAACACAGATGTCTAGGACCTGCACCCAACTTAATGCATCTTTTTACTTGATATTCTTGGTATAGTCTTAGGATAATTATGTTTTACATTAAGGTTTTTTCCTCCAAAAAACTATATTCATCCATTTTTATAATACCAGAAATAATATTCCCTGGCTTATTTGAAAATAGCTTAGTCATTGGCTTAGTCATTATCCTTCAAGGTATTCTAATTGTGGGGGGATGATTTTATTGTTTTGCACTTCACATTATGCATTATTCTATTATGAGGTTCATCAGGCAGTTCACATTTTAAAATTATCAGTAGTAAATTAATCACAGCCATTTCAGTTTCAATCATCTATAGTTTTGTTTTCCTCCAATGCTTGCTTAAGGCTTTACTCAGTTTTAGGCCAGGTTTGTGTCTCTGACAAACAATCTCAAGCACTCCGTGGAAAAGCACCACATCCTTTAAACAATTGACAGCTCAAAGAACAGAACCTTGGATATAGACATCTTGTGACACCAGCAGACTGTCAGGATTTGCAAGACTTTGTGACGAAGTAGACCGCTTCATGATACCACCAAACCCAGGTCAAGGGAAAAAAGAATCAGTTATGTTAAGACTACTCTAAGTAGTATTATTATAATGTTCTTTGTTCAATGTATTTTTAATCTTCTATTTCCTGAAAATAAGGAGTCTTATTTCAACTATCGATAGCCCACACTGCTTGTGTCAAATAAAATGAAACATTTAAAAATGATTCTGGAGTCTCACTGAACCCCAGAGTTCAAAAATTCATACCAAGTGTCCCTACTTTTTCAAAAGAGGTTGTTTGTATGCATTCAACAATAATCTTCCTTTTAACCAGGATATAATTGGGAGAATTTATAATACAACCAATATTTTGACTACACAAATTATATTTGAAAATAAAGCTCAATGAATCAGAATTGGCCACTCAAATCTCATCAGAATTCCTATACAGTTTTATGTGCAAAGACTATGCCAATATGTCTCTCTCCTTTAATTTTCCTATGTATAAGCAACAGGCTGGGAATTACATACACCATTACCACCTTATTACAAACTGACACCTGTATAATTTCTGTAAGGCCAGACTACAGAATGACAAAAGGAGGGTATTCTGAGATGGCTGGTCACTCTGAAGCCCACAATGTCACAGGTGATTCCTGAAATCACTCAGAGTTAAGACACCCTTTAGAACCTGTGCCTTCCCAGCGAAACTCTAGAGAGTCAGATGGTGGGGTACATTCAGTAGCCCTCAGGGCATCAAGCTTATAACAACCCAGTGGTAGTCCATGCTCTCCTCTGCAATGGGAGTCATACAGAGAATAAAATAATCACAATACAGCTTCATGAATGCAGAGGAATTCACACTTCACTGCAAAAATAAGATGTCACAATGCCAAGGAAGAAGAGAAACAAAACTCACAAGGTACATAACAAAACTGCAAGGTCAAATAAGCTGCCCAGCAAAAGTTGTTCTAACAGGAAGATCACCTGGCACCCGTTTGCTAAATAGGATTGGATTTAAAGTTCCTACATAATTAACATATCCCACTTAAGAGTCTCCTACATTATTTTTGAGGTTAACATCTTAACAAAAGAGTAAAGCTTACATTTGTGGAACATCCATGTCCTCAAAACTATGTTAAGTGCATTATAAGTATAATCTATATGTTAGCAATATTAACTTCCTAGTAAGATAAAGCAGATTATACTTAATCTCTTTTAAAAGCATCATAAATTATGGGGAGGAACTTTTAGATTCTTAAAATCATGTTCTTTGCTATATTCTAAACAACTAGAAAAACAATTATAAAATATCAACTGATAACCAGAATCTGGTTGGAAAGATGCTGTATTCGTTCATTTAAATACTGGTTGGCTCCAAAGAACCAAATACCACCAGCACACAGAAACACACACACACATACACACCTCAGTGTTTATTCAAGGCCACTAAACTGTAGCCTAAGAACAAATGGCTCCAGAACAAGCTGGCACTTTTGATTTTGCTGACTAGAATCCCCAAGTTTGGAGCAAGAGCTATGCTGTCTTGAATGAAGAAAGGAAAAAGAGGTCTTCCCCTTCCCGGCAAAAGAGAGACACCGCTCCTTTCCGTGAAAATCCAATATTTAAGAACGCTGGTGTGAAAGGGCACTAAAGCATCATTAGCCTGTCCAGAATGCACAATTTCTACTCACAAGAGCATCCAAGTGTCTCGGGTTGGCAGTGCCCTCAAACTACCCTCATCTCTGCCAAGGTACCCAGCAAAATGTTAGCCATACCTGACTTTCTCCGTGGGTCCTCCCACTCTCAGTTCTGAAGATGGACTTGGGCTTCCTGGACTTGAAGTTGCCCATGGCGGGTCGCAGTACGCAGTCCACCTGCACCGTCTGCTCTACATGCTGCGGTGCCTCACCGTGGGGCGGTGTGTGCTCCTCTACAGGAGCCCGGGCGTCTGGATAATTCTCTTTATTGTCTTCATCCCTATAAGAGGAGAGTCCCAATTAAAAAGCACCAAAAATTGAAATAACGCTGTGGGACAAAAGAGACGCTGATGATATACATTCATTGCTGCTATACCAATAGGATTCCTAACAAAATTTTTAATGCAGGCTCAGGAACTGCTTAAGGATTAATTTTATGGGAACAACTTAAGAAACTTATTAACTTATTATTAACTTATTAACTTATTATTAACTTATTTCTCTACTCTCCCTTCCATTCTTTGAGTGGATACATACTTTTTATAGTTGTCACTATGTGCATACCATCATTTTAATTTTTACACTTTTAGATGCTTTCACATATATCACATTTTCTCACAATAATAATATGAAATTTTCAGGTTAGACATTGTAATCCCAAATTTATAGATTAAAATGCAGCAATCAAACAACATGCCTAATGAAAGGGCCAATTGACCCAGACCCAGGGTGGTCAGGAAGATCTCAGTTTCTCAAGCCTGTATTCTGGGTTCAAGATGGGATGCCTCCCCAGCTTACAATCATCTCCTTACAATTTTCAGAGGCATTTAAGAGTTTAATGGGACCTACTTTGATAGAAAACAAGTCACCTGGATCAAATATAAGGTAAGAGCCTGATTTTACTTAACCAGGCCATCTTAGCAAAGCCCTGAGTGGAAAGTCAAAGATCTTGGTGTTTGGATTCTATCAGTCCCAAGTCACTAAAGAACATAGGAGAGGCTGGCATTACCACCATACACTTCAGGTGCAAGGAATGGTGCTTGCATTTTTCACTCAACAAATTCAATAAAATGTTCCCCCACCCCTTCAGTTCTAATCTTCTCAGAAATACTGACATGGTAACAGTCCTATTTGAAGCCATTGGTCTTACTTAAACCTAAATGCATTTTATTTTTCATTTTGCTAAGAATCAAGCAAACACTCTGGACATAATCAAATATGGGATCAATATCATCAACCTTAACCCTCTGGAAATCACTTAGGCCAGATCATGCAATTCCTTAGGAGCAGCCACTTTCCCTGGGTGTTTTTGCCTTATGCTCTCTTATTGGAACCACCCATAAAAGAGTTTTGGTGAGATCTGGGAAGATAGTCCTCCTTGCTGAAGGACACATAAAGCCAAGAGGCAAGACGAACAAAGGGCGATTTCTATGCTCTTTGCAAAAGACACATTTTCACAAATAAAAGAAAGATTAAATTCACTAAGATAATCTCAGGGGAGAATGAACTTCCATTAGTCTCTGGAAAAGACCAAAGCCAAGATTGGGAGAGATCATCAGTAATAGAGGCCTTGTGCAGTGGGCAAAGGGTAGAAATTAAACAATGTAGAACAGTTAAGCTTAAGTCTCAGGACAAACTTCCTGCTCCCTGATAAAAGAGAACTCAACAAGTGAAATAATTCTTCATTGTCAGTAACTGAAAAAAAAATCAATGCCAATGACACTGATCTTAAGATAATTCACAATTATTTTTTTTTCCCCAGGATACAGCTTAGGGATAGAGAGATTACCTAGCATTCAAAAATGCCCTGAAAAAAAAAAAAAAAAACTAAGTCACTAATGAGTTTAGAAATTAATATCAAACCATGAATTGGAAATCATACTAGTTTATTTGAAGTGAATTTTTTTTCCCACAAGGAAATATGGAATAATACTCATCTACTTTATGTTCCTGTGGGAGAAAGAAAAGTTTACAATTAACTTAATGGTCCTAATTCAAGTAGAATTCCAGAACACTCAGGAATAAGAGGGGGAAAAAAGGAGTTTTTTCAAATCTAAAATGACTTTGATAGACTCATTCCCCCAAAATGCCTGAAGTTTGTTTTACATCATATTTCCAAGTTGCCCAATATTTATAAATGTGATCATATATTAACTTTGAAGGGAAAGAAAGGGGGAAATGAGCAAGGCATCTTTCACCTCTATACACATTTAAGACCTGATTATAAAAGTCATCTCCAGAAATATACCTTTTACATGTTATTTATTGGTTCCTTGGGATTCCCAAAACAGAAAAGGACACGTTATGTATTTTATGCCACTACTCATTGGAATAAATCCTAACTGACAAGGAACATGGTGTCCAGAAAAGGGTAAGAGTTCGAAAGATCTTTCCATTTAGTTGCATGGTCTGGGCCACATCACTTCAGCTCTACAATCCTCATACAATAAAATGGACATCATCTCTACCTTGCAGCATTGTATGATCTCTGTAAAATGCCTACCACAGAGAGCTGGCTCCAGGCCACAACCTAATAAATGAAAGCTATTGTGTCTCTCAGGCAGGGCCTTGGCCAAGTGATTATTTGCCCACACTCACACATTCATGTTCTTTTTAGTTTCCTCAATACTTCAAAACATAAATTCCAAACTCCTTAGTAGGGCATACAAACCCTATGCAATCTGATCTTTGCTTAAGTCTAAAGCTTCATTTCTTATCACCCCTTGCATTTTTACCCCAACTTCTCAGAGTTCCTAGTACCCAGAATTGCTAGTTATTCCCCCAACTCCAATATTCTCTTTGCCCACTGTTGGCTTTCCATTAAGCTGCTCCCTCTGCTTGGTGGTATCAAATTTTTTTTGTGGCTTTAGATACACACACACACACACACACACACACACACACAAAGTATTTTACCATGTGTAATTTTCTTTAGGAATCTATCCCATAATTCTGTCTGGGCTATTTGGTTCTTGTTATGGTTTGCTTGTACAAATCCTGTGTTAATATAGGAGGTGAAATGATAAGATTATGAGAGTTGTAATCTAAGGAGAGTTTATACTTTGTCTGTGACTCCTAGTATTCTCTCTGCTTCCTGGCTGACATGAGGGAGCACCTTCCCTCCCCCAGGCCTTCTTACCATGGTGTTCTTATCACCTCATGGACCGAGTCCTCTGAAACCCTGAGGGGAAAATAAACTTTTGCTCCCCTAAGTTGTTCTTGTCAGATATTTTTAGTCTCAGAAATAAAAAGCTGACTAATACAGTCCTAGGTGAATCCTGTACTTACCTCTAATATATTAACACTTTAATGCTTCATCTGTGTTCTTGCCTATCTTCTTTAGCCAACCAAATTCTGCTACAGGAATTAGGATTGGTTTGACTTTATCCCAAATATTGACTCATTTCTGACATACAAAATAGTCCCTCAACAAATGTTGTTATGCAATACCTGAACTGTAGAATTTGACAGATTTGGGTCCAAATTCTGTCTCAGAGTGTCATGTTATTTGTGTGAGCTATAATCCCTCTGAGCCTCAGTTTTACCATCTACAGGATGAAGAAGAAAACATCAGTTTTCTTTCAGTTGTTTAGGTTAAATAAGAAAATGTTCGTGAAAGTACTCAAAACAAAGTAAATGTTGAAGAAATAGCAGACCATAAACATTTTGCTGTTGTACCATGATCCCCTTATTGGCCAAGAACATGTCCCAAATAACATGTTTGGTGAATAATCTAGAACTTCTTCCTAAGAGTACACCATAGGTTCCTTGAGATAGGCTAATCAATGTTCAATAGGCATTTATTGAGTATTTCCCAAATAGATATAATTGTCCTAAGTACAAGGTGGGTATACAAAAGTATCTAAGACAAAACTTCCCTTAAGAGCTAAAAAAGCTAAAAAACAAAACAAAACAAAACAAAACAAAAAAGTTAAAAATGTAGCCGGGCATAATGGTGCATGCTTGTAATCCCAATGGCTTAAAAGATTGAGCCAGGAGGATTACAAGTTCAAAGCAAGCCTCAGTAATTTAGGGAGGCCCTAAGCAACTTAGTGAGACATTGTCTCAGAACAAAAAATTTTAAAAATGGTTGGGGATATGGCCTCAGTAGTTAAGCACCTGTGGATTCAATCCCCAGTACCAAAACAAATAAAAAGCAAATAAACAAAACCCCTGAAAATCAAGAATAAGAGATGAAAACAAATAATTTGAGTATAAAGAAGAGACCAGAATAAAGAGACACCAGACCTAGATGGTTTCTGATTCTCACAAATAAGAATCAAGCAACCATGGTCCATACCTGAAACTGGAACAGTCAGTCTGATCTTCATGTAAAGAGACTATGTCTTCGTCACACCTAAACAAAGTGGGGAGAAAAACATGTCAGATCCAACTGTCCACTATGGCAGTAGCAGCAATGATCTAGAATTATATCAAGATTAACAAATTACAAAATGCAACAATCCTCAAAAATCTCTCCCAAACCAACTGAGCCCTAACATGTCATTGGGTAATGATGCCTGTGTTGTCACAGTGTCACTACTAGTGTTGTCATGGCATGTAAGCGTAAAAGCTCAGAATCAGATATGACTTTTCTTTTTGCCTCCATGCTAACAGACATTACCTGAGATAATAAGATCTTACCAAGGACATACATGTTCATAGCACAAGGACTTCAGGAACCATGATGAGTGGATGGTGGTTAACTCAAAAGAGATTCCACCTCATACCTCTTAGCATTTTCTCTGCATCAAGTAGTCTCAAACCATGCTTGCTCCCATTGGCCTCAGACTTTCTTGATCTTGTGAAAAGCTCTGGCTCTTTCATACTGAAAAATCTCCAGTGCTTCATACTGCCTAGGGAAATCTGGAGTAAGACCATTCTCTGACTCTAGGGTAGGAAGGAGTCTGTGTTCCTACTCTCAGACATTCTCACCTTGCCTCACCCCATCCTGGAATGCAGTTTTCATCTTCAATTGTTATTCATTCTTCACTGCCCAAGTCAGGTCTCCACCAGCTCTGAGAAACTTCCCAGCCAAGTTCACACACCTGCCATGTTCTTACTTTAACCTTGACAGTGTTTACTCTTCATTCTCAGGTAACAAACCTTTTCTGGCTTCACACTCCTATGTAATCCTTTCCAGTTCTGAGATTTAATGGCTTATTCATTCAAGAGAAGAAATAACTATAATTTCTTTTTTCTAGATATGCTGATATAGTGCTATTTCAGAGTTGACACTCAAAAACTCCTTGAATTAAAACATTATTTCCGTTCCTTCAGCAAGTCTAGTTCCTGAAATGCTTTAACAAATATTAATTGAACATTAACTGAGCCCAAGTGCTGAATTAGGCATTGTAACTGTGCTTCTAAAACTTTCTGGGGTTCAGGACTGACCAACTTTTTGTTTGTTTGTTTGTTTTATATAATGCATCCCCTTTGTACAAATACTTTGATAAGGATGTCACAGCAATGTCAAACTTCTACTAAAATCATTAAATGTTTACTCCCTATTTTCTGTTCTTCTCTCATACAGGTTACAATTTGGATACCCACATTTTGAGAAACATTGCTTCTAAAGGATGCAAAATTTTGAAAAGATTTGGTCCCTGCACTGAAGAATTTGGAGAATAATGAGTAGAAAAAAATAAATAGGTAAATGAATACCTATTATGCATATAAAGATGATCATATTTATAGTACTTGTACTATATTAAATAGGTTTAAAATTTTAAATACTCTTAACTTGCAATGGTATATAAATAACCCACAAAATGAGTTAATAAAAGTTTCAGTTAGCTTTCCTTATAATCTTTTTTAAATTATGGCTTTTGTAGTGAGTTAAATAAACAAAGCCACCTACAGACTCTAACCCTCTTTACCTGCTGAAATAGTTTGTTCCCTCTATAAAAAAAACAAAAACAAAAACCTAAACACTCCTTTTAACCAAATGATCTAAATTGTCTTGCCTTCTCCTGGCTTTGACCACCAATAATCCATTCTTCCATCTCACAGAAAACAATGTGAAATTCACAAGTATTGTTTTGTTCTACTCCATTAGCAGCAATCACCTACCAGATCAACTGTGCTTTATAATGTGAATAATAATGTTTTCCAATAGCAAAGTGCAAAATCTATGAAGAATAGGCATCTAGAATTGCTGCCTCTAAGACTCAATCTGAGATTAACCCTGGAGCTCAACAATACCAATTGTTTGGGGATTTGGCAACAACTTATTTTTTCCCTCATTTGATTTATTAATCTTTCTCCTCAAATATAATCAGTTAAAAATGGAAACTGAGCACCAGAACATACAAAATTGCAGAAGCTTTCTGAAACATGAGTCTGGACCAAATTAGTGTATCCAAATTTAATACAGAGTGAATAACTCCATTTGCCATTCAAAGAAACACAACTCTAAGACTCATAGTTTAGTAATTGATGTAGACCTCCCTACCAGAATACAGAGCACAGGTACACAAACCCTTTGAGTTCTATGGAGTTTCTGGTTACTTTAATAAAGACCATCTGCTTCCATTAATTTAGCAACTCCTTTCTATTCTTGCTCAGGGGTACATTGCAAATGTATAGTACTGATCCATTTATAAAATCATATTCCACAGTGAGAACCAATACCCACATATCCTCGTTCCTGGAAAAAAAATAAACTCAAACCAAGAGATCAACTGATTTGGGGCACGGCATTCTCTTCCTACCTTACAGCCCTACACAGGAATTTTAAGCCCAATCCTTTGCACGATCTTTCTCAGATATTCAATACGGAATATGTTGTAATGAAGTGTTTTTCAAATTGTATGTTGTGACCTGTTAGTGAATTGTAAAATTACACAGCAGCTACCAGCACGTTTTTGTTTGTTTGTTTGTTTGTTTGTTTGGGTTGTAAGATGCAGTAGAAAATGTTAGTACAGTGTTAATTATTGACTCGCTGAACTTATTTAAGTTAACATATATGTGCATTGGATTGACATATAGCATGTTTTTCTTAGGGTTGTTCATAGTAAAAAAAAACAAAATGTGAGTCGGGTTTAATGATGCCTGCCTGTAATCCTAGTGATTCAGGGTACTAAGGAGGATGATCACAAATTCGAGGTCAGCCTAGGCAACTTGGTGAGTGAGACCTTGTCTCAAAATAAAAATAAAAAGAATTGGAGATGTAGCTCAGTGGTAAATGTACATGGTAATTCACATCTTACCTGCGTCTTTACACTATCTCAATTCAACCTGACCATGCTATAAGGTAGAAATTACCATCACTCACAGGGTTTTATTGCCTAGGATTCCAAGGCCTAGAGCAATGGAGCCAGGGTTGTTTCTTCTCTGCCCACACAAAGTCCACAAGGCAGGAGTCAAAATGCCTCCTTAGTCTGTATTCCCAGAGGCTCATGAGAGAGAGAGAAGGACATTTCTTAGAATAATGTAGTGAAGAAGTGTCCATGAAAAGTACTTTTTTTTCTGACTAAACAGGAAGAAAAGATTGGCTGGTAGATGAAATGTAGTTGCGTTAGAAAGGGATTTCCATTCACCCTATAGTACCTGTGTGCCCCAACAAAACAGCTGACACCAGCTTCCCCTGCCCCATCATCTCTACTCCACTACAACTCTCTTAAGAATGGGCCTAGAAATGCAGAATTTAAGCCAGATTACCCACCTGCTTAACTAGTAAGCTTCTAAAAAGTTATCGCCTAAAGATTTCCAAAATCCAGACCAGTACTGGGCTGATTCCAACACAACCACCCACCCATTCTGAGTTCCCTGTGGAGATAAAGCCTGGGAGTCTATATTGTCTATAAACTCCAATCTTGTTTCCCAGTATATAGTGATGATCAGTAGGTTTTGAGAATCAATGCTTTGAATGATAACCAGTCAGAATAATTGCAAGCCAGGCCAGGCTTCATTTCAAATACATAGTTAGCCAGGACAACATAGGAAATTGACCATGGAAAAATAATCGACAGAAAGATGCTGCAGATACAGAAGAAAAGGCCAAGGCCATTCTGATATTAAAAGAAGCTGGACAAAAAAAGAAATTGAAATTGGTTCAGAGCCACATAGACAATGCTAGGACTAGGAAAAAACAAGAAGAGAAAAAAATCTGTCCTTGTGTCCTTCCCAATTCCGCTTCTTTTTTTTTTTTTAAAGTAATACTTCACTTTATTTTTCAAGAACTATAAGTCCCCGTGAATAGAATTTATGCACCTGTTAGGTGCCACATGACCTTTCAATTCCGCTTCTGTTTGACTTTAATGAGATCTCCAACTGGCCAAGTGAAACCCTTTCAGAATATCTGATAAAATAACTCATATTAAAATTTTAATGACAACTTGAATCTACCTTCAAGGAGCATAGACTTATATTTCCATTCACTACTAGAATCTTTAATCTCAAAGAAACTCATCTCCAGGTACAATTTCAGGGGGTTTGAGTTAAGAAGAAAGTAGGAATAGAATGGGGACAGGAGGAAGAGGAACTTTTCTTGTCTCTTGGGTATGCTAGAAGGGAGGAAGGGGCCTCCCCAATGCAAGACCTCAAGGGAACATTCACTGAGCACCTGCTATGTCTGTGTCTCAGGATAGTGCATCCTAGTCCTTCTAGCTAAGGGAGCATTCCCAGAGAAGGAAGGAACATGGTTCAGATTATTGAGGCAGGTGGCGGGAGTTATGTTGGACAATGACTAGTTTTAAATGACCCTAGTC